CATCTTAACCTCTTCTGGCTTTGTTATTAAGTATGTCTTCTCTTCTACTTGCTTGATAAGCCTGTCAAGCAAAATCTCCTTGTATGGCTTATTTAGAAGACTGGCAAGCATTTTTCCTTGGTCTGTTTTGATCATTTTATATCATTTATCTATATTTTCTTTTATTTGCCTTCTTTGTGTTTGTTCTCAGTCCTTTTTCTTCTTCTCTTGTAGGATCTTCTGCCAACCTTTCATGTCTTCTATTCAGGCCTGTGACCAGTGCCTTTGTAGTTTTGGCAGTTTTGCTCCTATCTTGTTGCCTGGTACTTTTAATTGCTCATTTGTTTTAATTCTTTCTTTTTCTGTTATTACTTGGTCCCTTCTTGCCTTTGCATATTTTATTAATCTTTGCAGCTTTACAATATTTTTTTCTTGTTAAGATAAGAAAATTATTAGTTGATTTTTTGAAAATAAACTATAGTTGTTTATAATGTTCTAAAATTAATGTACTCTGAATAAGTAATAATAATATATTATTTGTATTATAGTTTAATGAGAAGTTATATAAATTAAAAATTTGTATTATTGTATATAGTGATGTTTCTAATAAGTTTAGTGAGTTTAAAGTATTTGTTATTTTGTTAATAAGGATGTTATCTGAGTTGTATAAGTAAAGAGAACATTTCAATAGATATTTAGTATTTTTATATTGATTACAATATAAACAGTTTGAAGTTAAGTAGAGAATAGAATAGTAAGTATTTAAATTAGACATTGTCAGTAAGTTGTTAAGTCATATTTTGTTTTTAGATTTAGATTGGAGTTTTGAGAATTAATAATCTTAGTTAGTAGTTAAAATTTATAGTATAAAGGTTTCTTAATAGTTTAAGTTAAAGAAGTTTATTAAATATTTGAATTAAAAGTAGGTTTTTACAGACTTTATATAATTTGTATATAATTGAAATTTGGTTTTAAGTAAAAAACAAAGAAAAATAGAAGTAATTAAGATTAAGTTTAAACTCAGTTTTGTTAGCTCTATGTTTAGCTAAAGCATCAACTATATTATATAAAGTATTATTTAAATAAGATTTAATTTTGTATGTAATATAATTAATATTCTTATGTTTAGTTTTATTTTTTTAATATTAAAGTCTCTATCTTCAGAATGTAGCATTTTTATTTAAGTATATAGAACATGGCATGCCACTAGAGGCTATCTTATATTGGAGGTTACAACTAGTTACACATGCACTTTTGGTATCTAATTTAAGTAGTTTGCTTATATATTACTATATAAGTTCTATACTAGATGCCATATCTGCAAGCTAACTAGAAAACTTGCTTATTTAAACCTTCTGCATATGTAAACTTTCAGTATTATAAGAAATCTTTAAGACTATACCTATTCAAGTTTTTGATACTAATTGGTATCTTAGAACTACTTTATTCTTAACAGAAAACTTACTAGAGCCTTTATGTCCTACATATACTAACCTAGTTTTATGCAACATGCTATAGTTATCTAACACTTGCAGTCACAGAGATTACTTATTTAACCACTACATTATACTATTTATATCCTTGTAAAGTTTACTAGAACTTCAGTACCTATCTTTCTGGCATCTTCTCTATTATTTTCTACTAGCTGCAACTCAGAATTATTGGTTTCATTTCAGACTACCAATTTAGATGACCTAGTATAGTATACTTCTGTATTCTTTTTCTTTGGTGAGTTTTGCAACATGATTGGTTATATGCTTCTCTATATATATTTGTTATTTAGTTTTAATTTTCAGTTTTTATAAAAATGTTTCATAAGCTTAACTGATCTGATAATACTGTCAGAAAGTTCATGCTACCTCTTTACTTAAGAATTTCCAAATAGGTTTTCATTACCTTAGTTTTTTAGTCTTTTATATCTGATGGTTTTATTATAGGTTTGCATCAAAGTTTTATGCAATACTGGTTATACATTTTTCTATATATATATAACATTATACTTTGCAAAGATGCTCCAAGCTCCTAATATAGTAGGACCTAACTTGGTATACCTAAGTTATAGCCATATAAGGCCAACTGATCAATAGAAGACAGTTATCAAAATGCAGATATAATTTTTAAATTTTGTTGTAGATAGAATTTAAACCTTAAAACTGCCACTTGAAGAATAATAACTCAACTACTGCACTAAGATCACTATCTTCTATTTTTATATTTAGTTAAAAGTTTAGAATATAAATAGTATTTCAATTATTTTGTTTAGTTTGTAAGTTATAGTTATAGGATATTAAAGATGTGAGAGTTTGAATAGTTATCCAAAGTGTAGCATATGATGTTATACTACTATACTAAATTATGCAATGTCTGTCTGTCCTCACATGTGTAATAACTAATAAAATTGCCAGATCAGGTGTAACATAACTAAAAAAAGAAAAACAATAAAAATTTGCATACTATGTATATGGCCAACCAAATTACTTGATCAGATTAATATAAACTATTAGTCTAGGTATATTATTTATATACTTTTATATTGAATCTTACAAAATCTTATTTTAATTAAATTCATATAAATGCAAATTCCAAGAGTTTTGTTAGCAAATATATGTAAAAGACAAATACATTACTATTTATTACTATTACCAGTTATATACATTACAATTTATTACTATTACCAGCTATATACATTATTAATTCATTCCAAATCCTAACAAGTATTATATAAATATAAAAAAATATCAGCTAAGAAAAAGTAAATTTAGATCTTAACATTTCAAAATTTAATACTAATGATCTTTATAATTATACTCTGCACACTAATTTAATGTTTTAGAAGTTATCTAAGTAGCAGTTAGATAAATATAAGTGAAGTTTCTAATTAAAAAAAAAATGATTGTCTTAAAATATTAACTATTCAGACTTTAATTATTACCTGTTTTAAGTTGGTGAAAAAATGATTAAAAGCTGAAATTTTTTTTTATCATCTCTACAACATAGTTTCAACAAATATCAATAAAGGTGTGGTTGTTTGGAAATATAGTTTATATAATATATTTTTTTTAATCCAGTTAATAAATTCTTGTTTATATCTAACAGTAAAAGCTTATACTTGGAACCTTTTTTATGTCTTTTATTAAGATCTATTGGTTGACAAAAACAATCTTTGCTATAAATTTCATACAGACCAAATACATCAAACATGCAGGACATGAATTCAAGCAAAAATTTAATTTTTAATATAATATTGTTCAGAATACTATCACTATAATATATCATTATTGTATATATACTAATCATGCTTCAAATCAAGGTTTATTACTGCCAAATTAAAAAACTTAATGAATCACCAAATTATTATTTAGTTAATTTATCCAAATTTATGAGAACAGCTGTAAAATTTCCTTGTAGTTTTTAAAGTGGGTTGGTGTATTACTTTTAAACTTCATGAGAACAAATAAATAATTTTATACAGCCTCATGAATTTAAATATTTTACAATAATAAATTTTAATTTATTAAAATTGAAATATTACAGTATTACAAATTTGAGTTTTTTGTTAATAAGGATGTTTACTATTACAGAAGTTAGTCATATTAAAAAATACATAAAATAAACATAGCTGATATTTTAAATTGAGTATAATCTCAATACAAACAATATGAAATTGCTTGCAATAAAAAAAAAAAAAAATTACTAGATTTTATTATATAATATCCAATTTATATTAATTGTCTGAAGCACAATATAGGACATTATAATTAAAATTAAGCATGATTCTGTTTACTATATTATGTCTTATTCTAACTGTTAATAAAAATCAATCATCATATGCCATTGATAAATCACTTAAAAATATCATTGCTTAAAAATATAATTGTAATAAATTGCTTAAAAAACTATTAGTATTAATCAATTGCTTAGAAAAACACAATAAAGAAAAAAATATATATTTAAAAAATGAATATTTAACAAGTTCTGCCATATCGAGATACACTTCAAAAATGTATTAGTGGAGAAAATGAAACTTCTAACCAGAATGAAAAGCATCATGCTGATGATCAAGAAAATAAACATAAGAAAAGAGAAAAAGAAACTGTTAAAAAGTATAAAATATGTCTCAAAAGAGACCATGAATGAAAATGACAAAAAAGAACAAAGCATGCTTTAGAAAGTGTTAATGAACATTTTAATCACCAAAATGAAGTCTCAAAACAAAATATTAACATATTCCATGTAGAACTACTTTCTGTTCTTGCTAAATCTGACCAAAATCTATTACAAAATTTTCACACAAAAATTAATAAACTTACTAATACACTTTGTCTTATATGTAATGAGTACTTTTTATCTATTAAGCTTATAAAGAAAGAATGCTGCCATTGTTGCTATTATAATAAGAATGTAATAAAAAAATTCTCCAAAAAAAACAATATGAACCTGGGTGATGTATCTGAAGAATTACAAGAGCTTACTGTAATAGAAAAGATGTTAATTGTGCAAATTTTTTCTGTCGTTTCTGTGTATTGTCTTTGTGAAAATTAGTATGCATACCATGATAATATTATCAAGTTTCTACAAGATGTATCAGAGTTTACAACTTGACTCTTTTGACATCTTTTATTATTGGATATTCTTGTTATGCATCATCAATTTGCGAATAGTTCAACATTCAAAGATTTTAATATCCATCATATTAAAGTTACCTGTGCACTATTGGTTAAAAGCAAACAATCATTATTATTCTGATATTATTATTAACAATGAAATATTATGATTTTTATCTGACAATGGTCTTGTTGATAATTAGCCTCTCCAACTTGAAAATGTAGAAGACAAATATTTTAATAATAATGATAATAAAGATAAAGATATAATAACTAGCAACTTCATTCCTGCACCTCTTCCATCTTCTAATAAAGAAAGTGTTATTGCTGATACTCTTGATCAAATGCAACCTAGTAATATTCCTATTATGTGGCTAAATATAGATGGAAATCTTATTAATGTGTTCCAAACTTCTAAGTATATTGCATGCACATTTTCAACTTTGTATTCAACTGAAGATAGTGATTTTTAGTCAGAACATGTAAGAGAAATTAAGCCAGCTGAATATTTTTCACATCTACTAAAATAAAAAGATAGAAAGTTTGCATAATATGCTAGGTGAAGGTACTTTGTGCTAAATTCGCAAATGCAATAAAGGGCACTTCAAGAAGAAAAAGTATATATTAAACAAAGTTTAAATAGCAGCAGCTTAACATTGAAGATGTTCAAGAGATGGCAGATAATGATAATTGTATGACAGATAAGATCATATGATTTAGTGAGGGTTTGCATAGAACTTGGCAGTTTTGGAACAAAAGACAGTCTGAACTTACAGACATAATTAGGCAGTTAGGGTCTCAAAAGATGGTTTTTTTACTTTCAATGCTGCTGATCTACATTAGCCAGAACTTTATAAGCTTATACCACATAGTAAGAACCTAGTAACAGAACTAAATATGAGCAAACAAAGATGCCAAAACTTAATCGACAATCCATATATTGCTGCATGGTTTTTCAAAAATGCTTTAAATTATTTTTAGAAAAAGTATTAATTCCTAAATGAAAACTTGTAGACTGGTGATATAGATTTGAGTAGCAACATTGTGGTAGCACTTATATACATAATATTGGAAAAATACAAGATGCACCAATTATTGAATGAGAAAGAATAAAAGAAAATAAAGAGACAATGAGTAATGTAGTGCAATATTTAGATTCATTGGTTACTATAATTTATTCTAGGCTTGATGAATCTGTATCTAATCGTAATTTTTGTCAAAAATGCTTTGTTAAAATGTATAATAACCTATAGGATTATATAGAGTTAGTTAACAAGCTGCAATGACATACATGTTGTAGTCCTTCATATTGTCTTTGTGTAAACTCTAAAGGCCAACAAAATTGCAGGTTTGGATATCCAAAAAAAACAACAGAAAGCACATACTTACATAATAATAAGAGTCAATTTGAGCTTATAACAACAAAGAATGATCTTTACATTAATCCATATAATCGACTTCAGCTTTAGGGCTAGTGCATAAATATTAACTTAAAACCAATTCTAAACATGAATGCTGCTATTCAATGCATATCAAAATATGCAAGTAAATCAGAACTGTGGTCTGGTGCTTTTTTTTTAAATATTAACGGTAAGGCCATGCCTTTAACTTTATTGAAATTCAATTGAAGTTTTTACAAAGAAAAGC